AGTTTTCATTTTTTGTCATTTACATTTATACAACCACAAAAAAAAAAAAAAAAATGTACAAAATTAAAATTTTATAAATAGTAGATACGTTTTCTTAACGATAGTTTTATTGATGGTTTATCTAAGTTCAATATCATGCATTTCATTTATTCATAAAATAATTTACCTCAGGTTTGTATTAGGCCTAAAAAATAAACAAATAATAGGTATTTTTAACCCTAGTACGTACTCCGCTTATACGACCCTGTTTATACCTATTAATTTAGAAAGATTTATTTACTTTTTTTTTTTTTTTTTTTTTTTAACATCTTCACTTCCAACAAGGCTGCAAGCAACCACTATAAGAGTTGGAAGTTACTGGAAGAGAAAAGACTAAATCTGTAGAGCAAGATAACGATTGACTGATGACTTAAAAGATTGCAAATTATATGAATCAGGAAAGCAAGATGAAGGAAGCGAATTCCAAAGAACTGATGTTCGAGGAAAAAAACTAGAAGAATAAGAGTTTTTGAAGCACTTAGGAACAGTCACAGAAAAAGGATGAGACTTAATTGAATGGCGAGTAACACGAGAATGAATTTTAGTAGATGGCACAAGGGACGCTAGCTCTTTAGAGCAGTGCCCATTATAGTATTTGTAGAAAAGAGAAAGAGAAGCAACATTACGACGATGTGACAAAGGTTGGAGATTGGCTGCCAGAGCAGGTCCAACTATGTTTACAATTCGTTTTTGCACCTTGTCTAAAAGAGAAAGAGCATCATTAGAAGATCCGCCCCAGATGTGGCAACAGTATTCCATACAGGGACGGATTTGAGATTTATAGAGATAGAGAATAGAATCTGGAGTAAGAAAGTGTCGAGCTCGATAAAGAGATGCAACCTTAGCAGATGCTAATTTTGCAATGGATTTGATATACGGTTTAAAAGAAAGATCAGAAGTAAGAGTTAATCCTAGAAGATGAATGGTAGATGACTCATCTAGTACATTACCATTCATAAATATAGGAGGATCTAAATTATTACGATAACGATTGGCCGAATAAAATTGAGTTTTATCTGAATTAAAGTTCACCAGCCACTGTGAGCCCCATGCTGTAGCAGAAGTGAGATCCTTTTCAAGCTCAGATACCCCCTCCAAGCAATCAGAGAGTGTAGGCTTCTTATCATGACAAGAGTAAATGGTAGTGTCGTCGGCGAATAATGCCACCTTAGATGTGAGAATATCTGGAAGATCGTTAATGTAAATTAAAAAAAGTATAGGACCAAGGATTGAACCTTGAGGAACCCCTGAAGTTACAGGATGTGAAGAAGAGTGTTGTCCATCGAGGACAACTTTTATACTACGATTGGAAAGAAAGGACTCAATAATCTTAAAGACGTTACCAGCTACACCATAAGAAGAAAGCTTATGGAGAAGACCAGCATGCCAAACTTTATCAAAAGCTTTAGAAATGTCAAGTGCGATAGCCTTAACCTCTCCACCTCTATCTAATGCACGGTAAAACCTATCGGTTATTACTGTTAGCACATCAGCTGTAGAACGAGAAGACCGAAATCCATATTGATTATCAGAAAGTAAGTTATTTGATTCAAGATGAGAGATTAAGTGTTTGTTGATTAAAGATTCAAAAACCTTGCTTATGACAGGAAGAAGACTAATGGGACGGTAGTTAGATGAATCAGATTGCTCTCCGGAATTTTTGAAAATAGGGATAACAGATGCTGCTTTCCAGCATGATGGAAAACAAGACTCTGATAAGCACTTGTTAAATAGTTTAGAGAGTATGGATGAAAGCTCAGGAGAACACCTCTGCAAGACTACAACAGGAATGTTGTCAGGACCACAAGCTGTTGAAGAGTCTAAGCAGGAAATTACTTTAGATACAGAAGCTGAAGTGATGCGAATGTCAAGCAAGGGATCAACCTGTTTGACGGCTATGTCAGGTAAAACGCAACTAGTGGAATCAAGAGATGATATTGATGAAAAGTTCTTAGCAAACAATTCAGCTTTGTCTTTAGGTGAGGTGACAAAGTCTGAACCATACAAGAGAGAAGGAATAACAGATTTGCCCTTATTATTGATACTGTTAAAGATTCTCCAGAAGTCTCGAGAGCCTAATTTTTGTGATGAGATACGAGATTTAATGACCTGGGAATAGCGAGCTTTGGCGTCAGACAAAACCTTTTTACAATGATTTCTGGCGATAGTGAACAGATGTCTGTTTTCTGGAGAATTGTTTTGCTGATAAATATGGAAGTAACAGTTTCGATTAGAAATTGCTGCAGCGCAATGTGAGGAAAACCAAGGGGAAGAGTGAGGCTTGACCTGGAATCGTCGAGAGGGAATAAAAGATTCCATGCCAGCCTGAATCCACAAAGTTATGTAAGAAGCACATTTGTCAGCAGGAAGACGAAAGATTTCTACCCAAGGGCCATCACGAAGAAAATCACGGAAGTCAGCTTTAAGGTAGTTGTATGTGGTACGATGATAGGGGGATTCTGATGAAGTAGAAGAATTTGATAATAGTTTTAGAGAGATCAAACCGTGATCAGAAGTACCTAAGGGTGAATGTGGAGAAATTGAGCACTGACTAGGATCCAAAACAAGACATAAGTCGAGTAGAGAAGGTAAATGATTAGGGTTGTCTGGAAAACGAGTTGGAAAGTTGACTATTTGAGTTAGAGATTGAGAAAGGCAAAAGTTGAGGGCCTTAACGCCAGCAGAGTCACTGACACTAGAGCCAAGCCAATCGGTGTGATGGGCATTAAAGTCACCAACAACGACGATATTGGCCGATGGATAAAGAGAGAGGGCTTGGTCAATTTGATCAGAAATAACATCAAGAATAGTGCAATCTTGGGATGAAGGAGAGCGATATAGAACAAAGAGAAAGGCGATAGAGTGAAGTTGTGCTAAACGAAAGCACATAAATGAATAGTCTGTAGATTCAAACCTAGTTTCATGACAAATGGGTTAGTTCTTACGAATGTAGATGCCCAGGCCAAGCATGTGATTATTGGAGTCTTTACGAATTAAAGGAAGATAACCATCAACACTAAGATCACAAGATGGGACAGCCGAACTCAAATTAGTCTCACAAAGAGCAAGTAGGTCTGGTGAACTTTGCAAGAGATAAGACTCAACAGAAGAAAAGTTACTTCGAAGACCACGAATATTAGTAAATGATAGGTTTAGAGAACTTGGTGATGACAATGGTTTTTTGTGTTTTTTAGTTTTAGGTACTTTAGTCATTTTAAATTTATAAAGAACTTGACTCAAGTATAGATAGTACTCAGTACACTATTTAACAACTAAGCAATAGCATCATTACTATTAATAAACCCTAAGCCGTAACAAAGGGCTCCAAATGTGGCCTCTGCAATGCACACCAAAAGTACAAACAGGGACACCATCCATACTCAACATGGCACTGTTAGTACTCTGATATTTTTCGGCTGTTGATGGAATCAGCCTCTCTGAGAGCTACCACAGAGTTCGGGAAACCTGACTACCAGCTGGCCTCAGAACCATAAAACTGAGTTTTAGAGCTGTACCCTCATTAGGAGATAATAGAATGAGTTGCCCAGTCATAAAAATAGAGACACAAGCAATACCCATGCATTGAGTCAAGAAGATCCAGCGTTCAACATCCTAAACTGGAAACTATGTATTAAAAATACATCTGCGCCAGCCTAATAGATGAGGAAGGGGTGCGAGGCTGGTCAACAGATAGAATCTGTTTACCCCTTAAGTCTTTGCCTAGGAGGCCTTTTTCAAGACAGCAGCTGGATGCATGTAACATCTGCCCAAGATGAGTATTTTTATCGAGACACCATCTCTAGCCTTTACTCAACCAAGAGCCCCAAGGCAGGGGGTGTTTTAATTCGGAGTTAACTTCTCCTAGCCTTTGCCTAAAAAAGCGTATCCTACAAGGCAGCAGGACATGGAGCAGGTTGTACTGGGTTACATGTTACCAGTAGCAGGAAAACCTGACCTGACCTGGACGTCATAAACTTTGACGTCCATAATAAAAATCAATATTGAAGTCTATGACACAATAAAAGTTTTTTTTACATTATCTTCTTTTTATATTATTATATGTAAATCTGATAATATTAATACGCTAATTTAATAGTAGTAGTTAATAGTCAACTTACGTCATTTTCTAGGCTTTTCTATTTTAAAGTAGTTTCTAGGCTTTTCTATACGCGTTTTTTTTTTAAATTTTATTTACTAACAACCTGTATTACGGGTCGCTTACTGCTAGTTTATATAAATAGACATAATGTGTATATAGTCAGTCTTTGTGTATATAATCAGTCCATATATAATCAGTGCCGCTAATGTGTATATAATCAGTCCGCTTGAAATTTAATGCCAGCACACGAAAAAATGCTGACAGGATGATCATTTTTTAGTTAGCCTGTGTGATTTAAAATTTTTTTTTCCTGATATATAAATTATAATAAAAATGGCGAAAAGAATGCTTTGATAAATACTAGATAAAACAATTAATAAAAAGACTTGTAAAAAAAAGCCATTTTTCATAAAAGTTGTGCAAATGAACAAAAAAGTTTTGTTGCATTTTAAAACAAAACGCTTTTAGTTTTTTTGCAAGCGTTTTAAATGTTATTAGTTAATTCTTATTAGTCCATTTGTAAAGAAAGGACTAATGTAAATGATTTTTTTTTTATATTAGTTAATTTAAAATTTTAATCATATTTTATTACTTAAAGAATAAAAATTAATTACATTAAAAATCTACAATTGTTTTTGTAAAGTTTTTATGTAACATTCGTTAAATAGGATGTTTATCGATTGTTAAAAACAATCAATTGAATGTTCTTGAACATTCTTGAACATAAAGTTCATTCTTGAAACAGTATTTATAAACAAACTCTATCAAATGCTTTCTTGACTTTGATCTTGACTTGACACATACACTAAAAATTGCATTATAATTTATCTTATAATAATGACTTGTAAATTTTTTTTTCAAGACTGTAAATGTGGTAAAATCCCTTCAAAACATCACACTTAATTGTCACGTCAACCAAGTAATACCAAATGTTATGTCAACTAAAATTATTCACCTTTCGTGGTTTTCGAATATAAGCACTAAAAAAATGCATAAATCAGCTTTTAAAGTGTGTCAGATCTTAGCTGCAGCCCCTGACCAGATAATGGAACGAGCTCATCTTAGAAATCTCTGTCGGGTATGTTTTTTATAATAATTTATTTTAATTTTATTTCTTTAGGATGAGAAAAAAAACACAAAATTTTTATGTGAAGTATTAATCCATTTATTAAATGAACCTTTTATTTTACTTTATTGTTTTATTTTAAATATATTTTTTTGGAAAACATGCATTCTATAAATAATAAATATTTATTTACTATGTTTAAATAAAAATAAATATTTATTGTACTGCTATTTAATTTATTACCTGTATCAATTTGTATTGACACAGTTAATCAAAGTTGATGTGAAAAACTTAAGGAGTTTGTTGCTGAAAAAATGATTCTGGGTGCTGAGTTACCATTAATTAGTCAAATTTTTGGTCACATTCTGCATCTCCGCAAAGTAGAGAAATGAACAGTTTAGGATGCTAGTTGATAGCCAATCAAATTTAGTTGACAGCCAATCAAATCTAGTTGACAGCCAATCAAATCTCAGTCTGAATTCTGAAAAAGAGCTAGAACACCCATTCAAGCAGCCAAACATTTCATCAATAAGCTGGAAATTGTATTTGCTGAATGGAAAAGCCCTTGTAATTGATTATGTCTTGTTTTTGATTTTTAATTTTTTAGAATTACCTAACCGTGATAATGATATTGATCTAACTTGCCTAACCATTCACAGATGATGTGGAAAAATACATGATATATATATATATATATATATATATATATATATATATATATATATATATATATATATATATATATATATATATATATATATATATATATATATTGGGTTAGCTGTTTATATATAGAGAGATATTTATATTAGCTGTTTTATACAAGAATTTTTACATGACTCCAAGATTTTTTTTTTTTTTTATTTGCATTCACTCCCAACAAGGCTGCAAGCAACCACTATTAAGTTGGGAGTTACTAAGAAAAAAAGAACAGAGTTATAGAGCAAGGAAACGGTTGACAGAAGACTTGAAAAGTTGAAGGTTGTATGAGTCAGGAAAACATGAAGATGGGAGAGAGTTCCAAAGGATTGAAGTGCGGGGAAAAAAACTAGATGAATAAAAGTTTTTAGAGCATGCAGGGACAGATACAGTAAACGAATGAGACTTAGCTGAATGACGAGTAAAACGAGAATGAATTTTAGTTGATGGAACTAGAGATGATAACTCCTTTGAGCAGTGACCATGATAGTATTTGTAGAAAAGAGAAAGAGATGCAACTTTACGACGATGGGAAAGAGGTTCAAGCTTAGCAGATAGTCCAGGTCCAACAACATTTACAATGCGTTTTTGGACCTTGTCAAGAAGAGAAAGTGAATCGTTAGAAGAACCAGCCCAAATATGACAACAGTATTCCATACAGGGACGAATAAGAGATTTGTAGAGGTAGAGAATGGAATCAGAAGTAAGAAGATGGCGAGCACGATAAAGAGAAGCAACCTTAGCAGAAGCTAATTTAGCAATCGATTGTATATATGGTTTCCATGAAAGGTCAGTAGTAAGCGATAATCCAAGAAGACGTAAAGAGGAGGACTCAGTAAGAGGATTGCCATTCATTAATATAGGAATGTTGACCATATTATGGTAGTTGTTTGCAGTAAGCAACTGGGTTTTTTTAGAGTTGAAATTCACAAGCCACTGTGAACCCCAATCTATTACTGAAGTGAGATCGGATTCAAGATCAGCTGCTTGTTCTAGGCGATCGAAAAGAGAAGACTTTTTGTCAAGACAGGAGTATAAAGTTGAGTCATCAGCAAAAAGAGCTACTTTAGATGAAAGGTTGGCAGGAAGATCGTTTATGTAGATAAGAAACAAAATAGGGCATGTATATATATATGTATATATATATATATATATATATATATGTATATATATATATATATGATATATATATATATATATATATATATATATATATATATATATATATATATATATATATATATATATATATATATATATATATATATATATATATATATATATATATATATATATATATATATATATATATATATATATATATATATATATATATAGATGTTTATATTAGCTGTTTTATACCAGAGTTTATATTAGCTATTTTATACCAGATACTAATCTTTGGACCGTGAAAAAAAAAGCAGCTGATTATCTGCTAAAAAAAATCTAGTGTAAAGTCTAAAGCATTTCTTGATACTTGATATCTTGAGCAATTCTATGCAACCAGCTCAAAGAAAAGAAAATATTCCAGTTACTTTGAATCCCATGTAACTAACCAAAGATTCTTCTTAGTGAGAAAAAGATGAATTATATGAACTTCTTAGTGAGAAAAAGATGAATTATATGAAGCATTAGTTGAAGTATTGAAAGGATTAGCAATGTTAAATACTGCATCCAATACGATATCATTTTACAATAACAGTGTTTTGCACTGAATAATTACAATGCCAGTAATAGTGGTATAATGCTAGTATTTAAAATAGGAAAAAAATTAAAATATGGTTAAAATCTAACGTAACTAGTAAAAGTTTGCATTGACTCAATAAAATGTTTGTTTTTATATTTAAAAATAGTTATTCTTTTTTATAGTTTTCAAGTATTCTTGAAGGTTTTGTAAATATATTCCTTCTTTGGAAACTGTTATCTCATTATTGATTTTTATTTTAAATTTCTTATCATTTAGCATTGGCATGTCAAGCTTTTCTTTTAATGATATGTTTGCAGTGTTGTAAATAGAATTGCTATCAGATGAAGCACTAGTTGAAGTGAGAGGACTGCATACTTGCTAATTGACCTATATATTAAGTTGATCTATGGGATTTACAAAGGTGATTTGCTATATCATTCCTGCATTTGCTAAGGTGCTCAAATAAAAGCACTGGGTTTAAATTGTCATATTGTTGGTGTCTGTGTCTACAAGCTTATTTATTATAAATAATAGTGTTGTATTGACTGACAACAGTGTTTCATCAAATTTTTTTTTTTTGAAATGTCTTATACATAGATTTTATGTGCACACCTATGCTTAGATAAAACTGTTATGATAATTTCAATTAAAGGAAAAAAAGTTGTTCTCTGCTAATCGTTATATCGAAATGTTGATAATGATTGATGATCACTCTTACTGAGTCTTTACACTTTGTACTTTTTTTTAGATTTTATTAGTGATCTCTCCTAAATCTTTAATCCATAAAAAATTAGCATCTGCTAAAACTGTTTCTTTTTATTGTTTTCTATTTTAGTTTTACATATTGTAATAAATGTTATTTGTTTTTGCACTGAACACCATAGTCATATTTTAACTGAGTTATCTAGTTATGCTCTTATTTTGTTTAATCCGCACCACAACCCTGTTAGTACAACGTCTAACTTGTTTCTCTGTGTAGCATCCTTGTTCAGCAATGTTCCTATTTTGGAGTCAAAAAAGGTTGTAACCACAATAAAGTAGCCTCATCGACTTTGGGGAGGTGACTAAATGCCTTGGGGAGGTGACTAACATTAAAAAAATTTTTTTTTCACTTTAGACAAGTGTGTATGCGCTCAAAACTGCACCTGTGTAAACAATTTTAACTTATTCTAGCTACCATGCTTGAGCCTCTGTCATACCTTTGTAAAGTTGTTTCTCTTTTACATTTGTATCTAAAGTGATTTCCTGTTTAGACTCTTCTCCAGCTTGTGGTCTGAACAACATACCTGTTATCGTCTTGCAGAAGTGTTCTCAGGAGTTGTCATCTATACTTTCAAAACTATTTTAGCTTTTACGGAACCGAATAATGCAATCGAAATCTGTGTCATGTTATTCAGTTTATTAGACATCAGTCTAATGAAGTTGCAGTTTATCTCCTTATTATTTAGAATATTTCATTGCAGATTTAAAAAAAAAAAAAAAAAAAAATTGTTTCAAGTTAATTTTGTATATTTTTTAGACTTAAATTTTTATTGAGTTTAATTTTTTTGAAAACATTGTTAGTTTACATTGTGTTGCATTTCATATTCATGATAAATTTCATATTCATTTTAAAAGAGTATATTTTCAATCATATAAATGATCGAAAATATAAAATTTTTAATCATAAAATTATAATCTTTTGAAAAGACTACTATTATTTTTTTAAACAATTTTTTTGTGCAACTTTTTCAAAAAAATGTTTATACAACTTGGAAATATTATATTTTTTTCTTTTCAATAATTTAGTTCCACTTTTCAATAATTTAAATGAAATTTGTTCATTTATTAAACAATCAATGGAAGTAATTTGTAAAAGCGTTTTGTGTAACTTTAATGAAATCTTTTAAAAGATAAGTGTTAAACTAATTTATTTTAAATGCAATTAAAAATGTAACAAAAAGTAATTTTCACTTTGAATTTTTTGATTTTTATTTTAAAGCAAATTTATTTTCTTTTTCGTAAGGAATTGTTATGTTTATTATATAGTTTTTTTCAGTTTTTTTCCTAATTTAAGTTAAGCTTAATGCTTTTTTTTTTCAGCTCATTTCTGAAACGTGTAAATCATCAAAACATCTAAACAGTCATTCAATTTTCATTAGCCGTTAAACATTCATTAGTCATTTAAACAGTGGTCAAGTTGTAAACAAACAAAAAAAAGCATATGCGTGGTCAGCAATAGCGTTCGATTGCACACCATTCATGTCCAAGCCTATATATATATATATATATTATATATATATATATATATATATATATATATATATATATATATATATATATATATATATATATATATATATATATATATATATATATATATATATATATATATATATATATATATATATATATATATATATATATATATAATAAAGTATTTATTTTGTAAAATTCTATTCTCGTTGATCAAAATGTCTGATTACTTTGTAAATTGATCAGAAAATCTTAGGTTTTAGCTGGACATGTCTGATGTCTGACCTTTAAATTGAATCCTGTGAATTTGGTTTTGTCATGCATTAGATAGTGGAGAGGTTAAGGCTATTGCTCTCATAGTGATAGCCTTAACCTCTCTATCTAATGCATTAGGTAGTGGAGAGGTTAAGGCTATTGCTCTTGACATTTCTAAAGACTTTCATATAGTGTATCAGGTAACATTTTAAAGACTATTGAATCCTTTCTTACCAATTATAGTATCAATTGTAGCAACTTCAGGGGTTCCACAGGGTTCAATCTTTGGCCCTTTTTCAATTTTCATTTTTTAAATTTACATTTACAATCTTCCAGAAATTCTCATATCTAAGGTAGCATTGTTCGCTAGTGGTACTACCATTTATTCTTGTCTTGATGAGAAGCCAACACTCTGATTGCTTGGAGGAGGCATTTGAGCTTGAATAGGATCTTACTTCTGCTAAAGCATAGTGAACTTAATCTCAGATAAAACTCTTAAAAAACCTTTTCTATAAACACTATAATGGGCACTGCTCTAAAGAGCTAGTGTCTCTTTTACTATCTACCTAAATTCATTCTTGTGTTCCTCATCATTTAGGTCTCATCTTTTTTCTGTGACTGTTCCTAAGTGCTCCAAAATTCCTTTTACGTCTAGTTTTTTCCTTGAACATCAGTTCTTTGGAATTCCCTCCTTTCATCTTTTTTTCCTGATTTATATAGTTTGCAATCTTTTTAGTTGTCTGTTAATTGTTATCTTGCTATATAAACTTTATTTTTTCTCTTCCAGTAGCTTCCAACTCTAATAATGGTTGCTCGTTGGAAGTAAAGATTTAAAAAAATAAACAAATAATAAATACCATAGTTGCTGCTCAAAGGAGAACCTTTTGTTCCACTTATTAAAATTTAGTTGTTCTTAAAGTCTTTTGTTAGTTGTTCTGTTAAATCTTATGTTAGTTGTTATGTTAAGTCTTTTTTTAGTTGTTTTCTTTATTTATTTATTAGTATTTGTTTCATATTGTAAGCCATTTTCTTGCTATTTAATTTTTTTTATTTTTTAAAGTAATTATGATTAGGAGGTTTTTAATAATTAAGTCTTTTAAAAAAAAATTTTAAACACAAATGTGCTTCATATAAAGAATAAAACTAAATTTAAAGGTATTTTTTGTAAAAATTGATATATATGTGGTTAAAAAATATTTGATTTAATATAATAAACCAAATTTAATAACATTATTAAACTAAAGATTTATAATTTTGTGTCTTTTGAATATGGTTTTAATTATTGATTTCTTTAAATAAAAATTATTAAAAAAGTCTTAATATCAAACTAAGCTACCTTTAAATGTTTTTAAGGATATTCATGCTTTCAAAAAAGTGCGTCAATGGCTATTTCATCAAGGTTACATCAATTATATTGTTAATGGTAAAGTTTGGAAAGCTCAAAATTTGCACCAAGATGAGTCAGCTCACTTTCGTGCAAGTAAACCGTGCTATGTAAATCTTGTTAATCATTTTGAATATGGAGATGTTGACGATGATAAAGATGATGACTTTCTTGATTACATTGACAATTGTGACGGTATATTTATTTTAACAGTATATATGTATATTTATATATATATATATATATATATATATATATATATATATATATATATATATATATATATATATATATATATATATATATATATATATGTATATATATATATGTATATATATATATATATATATATATATATATATATATGTATATATATATATATATATATATATATATATATATATATATATATATATATATATATATATATATATATATATATATATATATATATGTATATATGTATATATGTATATATATATGTATATATGTATAAATATATACATATATATATATATATATATATATATATATATATATATATATATATATATATATATATATGTATGCACACACACATATATGTGTGTGTGTTTGCTTGTGTATATACACAGGCTTCAAGGAGTAAATGAGTGTGCAAATTATGAATAGCTTGTCGAAAGTGGACTTGGCAAGCTATGCAAGCCACCTGCCTGGATGGTTTTGCTCTAGCTTTATTAAGAAATTAAAACTATTATGTTTTAATGATAATTTTTGATATTTTCACTGAACTTATATTTTGTTCCTAAAAAAGCAATTGTTTTTTTTAGCAATAAAAAAAGCAGAAAAAAAAGTTTACATCTCAAAAAAGTTTTGATCGTCTTTCTATATACTATTATAAAAGTTCATTTATTTCTCTTCATTGTGAATAAAAAAATGTCATAGAGTATTAAAGTTTTTACAATTATTAAAAGTGGGAGAGCAACAAATCGTTTTTAAAAAACTTTTTTAGTTCAACTTCAAGTGAATAAGTTGGATAGTTGTATTATGTTTTTTATTTACTTGTAGTTTGTATTATGAGTTGTATACTAAGAAATGTTTTTTAACTAGAATTAAGTCTATTTAATTTAAATATTTTTAATTGTTAAAAAATTAGATTTTCCATAAAAAACTGGTTTAAAGTGAAGAACCTGGATTCTAAATGAAGTACATGAATACTAAATGAAGTATATGAGTACTAAATGAAAAACCAAATTCCTGGAAACCATTTATACTTAATTTAACTTTAAAATGATAAACTATATAGAATCTAAAATATAAATTAAAAAATGCATTTTTTTTAGACATTGATCCACAGTTAGTTTATGAAGAAACGCTTCATCATCAAGCTTTTCAAATTATTGGTGCATGCAAGGATAAAGGTTTGTATGTTACATACTAAGAAGGTTGGTTGGCTTTTTGGCTGACAATACTAAAATTTTTATCTTCAAATCAAAAGCAAAATATACATTTAAACTATTTATGTTATTCAACTATTTTTTTATAAATTATTAACTATTTACAATTATTCTAGTTTTATGTTTTGGTTGTATTTTTGTATTTTAGTTTGTATATTAGTTTAGTATTTAATACTAACCTTTTTTTCAATGGTGTGAAATTATTATGTCTTCCAGTTTAACAATAGTGTGTTCAAAAAAAATTATGAAGTCAGTATGAATAAAAACAACTAGAGTGATCAAAACAAAACTTTAAAAATGGACACTAACAAACATTGTTATTACTGCTTAAAACAGTGTGACAAGATTGTTTAAATTTATTTTAACATTTACTTTTTAAATTTAATAAGATTTCTAATACAGAAGGTGGAAGAACAACTGACATACTGACTATTCTCTATCAACAGTCTTCTTTCACTCACTGGTTCTATTAACAGTAATTGATTATGTCTTCTTTTTTTTTTGACATAACAAATTAGTGCAAAGTTAGCTATTAGTGCTCTATCAAAAATAAACAAAAGAATCACATTAAAATTTTTTTTGAGTTGATAAAAACTTTAACTCAAAAATAAAAATTAAAAACTTGATTTAAAACTTAACAAACCTTAAACTATGTATATATCTGAAAATACATTCAGAAAATACATATCTAAAAATTCATTCATATTTGTATATATATATATATATATATATATATATATATATATATATATATATATATATATATATATATATATATATATATATATATATATATATATATATATATATATATTCATCATTAGTATAAAGATTAGCTTCACTAATTTTTGTACAAATATAACAGAAAAAGGAAAAGAAAAAGAAATTTGAATCAAAAGAATTTTTGATAAATGTTTGAATGAAAAACAAGACAATACTTAAAAACAAGACAATACTTAAAAACAAGACAATACTTAAAAACAAGACAATACTTAAAAACAAGACAATACTTAAAAACAAGACAATACTTAAAAACAAGACAATACTTAAAAACAAGACAATACTTAAAAACAAGACAATACTTAAAAACAAGACAATACTTAAAAACAAGACAATACTTAAAGGGATCCCTAAGTGCTCCTAACATATGATCTCATATGAAAGAGCATTAAAAAAAAAAATGTTTGATGTATATTATTTTTTCTAAAACGTAATAATGAACACACACTAACAAATTTAATTTTCAAAAAAACGCTTTTCTTCGATTAAAAAAAATGCGTCTTGTCCAAAGTTTATTGACTCTACTGCCTCAAAAAACTAACGTTAGTACGTCAAATTAAACAAAGTAGACAAAATGTCATTATTGCAAACTTATTAGTTGGTAATTAAATTTAAAATTAAAGTCGTTTTTTTTTCAACTAACACATAATTACTTATATGAATAAGTTTTGTAGCATTTTGTGAAAATATATTTGTATATTAAAATTTTTTTTATAATATTAATTTTTGTTATATATTTTTATAATATTAATATTTGTGTTATAAGGGCAATTCCACGGCTAAAAATGAATAGAAGTCAAATTTTAAACTCTTTTTAGTCAGTTGAAAACAAATGAATATTGACTTAAACATATGAAAGTTTATTTAAAATATTGCCTTAGTAAAAAAATAAATTTATTTCAGTAATTTTTATGGTTTCAAAAGTGACGGTTACTCTCATTTTTGCTTGATAAAAAAAATAATGATTGTAAAATGTTTTAGTTAAATTAACATTTATGTTAAATTACTATATTTTTTTGGTTCAAATTGATCAGGTTGAATAGACATTTTATTAGAAATTAATCTAAGACAAGGCTCGAATTAATGCAAAAAAATCTAATCGCAAAAAAAAAAATATTTTTTTTTGCTCTCTCCCCCTCCCCCCCTCTCTCTTATAGCTCGCGCCGATGTGCGGTAATGGGGGGAAAAAGTTATCGTCAATAAATCAAAAAACATCGTCAAAAACTTAGATACCACGTTTTTTATAATTTTTTGTTTCTTGAATAAAGGACTAATAAAAGTTTAAATATAATTAAGTTTTTCATTTAAATGGTTGATGTTTTTATTCAATTTTTCTATTTCAAGTTTTCCAATAAAAGATAAAACAAAAAAATTTGGTTTAATAAATCGAATTAAAGTTCATGTTTAAAATAAGGCTTAAAAACGTTAAAGTAAAAAAATTGCTGGTTTTTATTAGCATTTTTATACTGTTTGAAAAAAAAAACTAATAAAAAAGAATTAACTAATAATATATTAATTAATAATTATATATTAATTCTTTTTAATTAGTTTTTTTTTTCAAACAGTATAAAAATGCAAATAAAAGTCAGTAATTTTTTTTCTCTAACGTTTTTATGCATTATTTTAAACATGAAGTTTTGATAAACAAAGATAAAAACCAACTTTTCAACTTTTCGCTTTAACGACCTAGTAAAAATTTTCCACGCAGAGATTTAAAGTAATTTAAGTTTAAAAATGTTTAACGTTGAAAGAAAATCTCCGCGCAAAAGAGCAAATCTATCTATTCAGAATAATAAATTTTGTGTGACGTTCTTTATGATAAAAACATTACTTTTAAGAATTGCTAAAAAAAATGCTAAGCTAGAAAAAAAAGTAATTAAACAACCAAAAAAAAAACAAATCGCGAAAAGATTTTTTTTAAGAAAAAACTAATCACAAAAGTGTGTGTAGCAATCGCGATCGCGATACGCTTAATATGAGCCCTGTAAGACTTTTTTATAAGTTCTAAACTATTTAAAACTATTACTTAATAACTTTTTTTTAACGATGTCTTTCAACCGAATGCTATTAATATATATATATATATATATATATATATATATATATATATATATATATATATATATATATATATATATATATATATTCATCATTAGTATAAAGATTAGCTTCACTAATTTTTGTACAAATATAACAGAAAAAGGAAAAGAAAAAGAAATTTGAATCAAAAGAATTTTTGATAAATGTTTGAATGAAAAACAAGACAATACTTAAAAACAAGACAATACTTAAAAACAAGACAATACTTAAAAACAAGACAATACTTAAAAACAAGACAATACTTAAAAACAAGACAATACTTAAAAACAAGACAATACTTAAAAACAAGACAATACTTAAAAACAATTGAAATGAGGCTTTTAAAATTAAAAAAAAAAAAAATCTCATTAAAAAAAGTTACTAAAGAAATGAAAGCAAATGATAAAGAGAGAAGGTATTGTAGAAATTGAAGAGACAGGGACATTCCCAGATAATACAGATGAAAAAGATAGTAAAGGTGTCAAAGAAAATAATGAAGGTGGATATTAGGATGTTAGAGAAGTTAAAGATATGTTAATAAAAGAAATAAAAAGAGATCAGAAAGTAGTGAAGCTCACTATGCTATATCTAAATGAAAAAAATTATGGTAATTCGGGCTTGGTCAAGAAGCGGGTGCAATCGCACTCTTGCGATCTGACCATGCGTAAAACAGTTGCAATGAGTAGTAGTAACAGTATCAAAAACAGTCAAGCTGAACTAATTTAAAAAAGGGACTTTCTGAATTAATATCGAAATAGAGAATAAAATCGAAATTGTGAAAAATAGAAATAGTATTAAAAATCCTAAATGTGGTATATGATCGAAATTAGAAGAAAATTATTAAAATCGAATCAATTAAAAATTTTAATTGATTGACTGCCTGCCCTAACCAAACCCTCAGTCTATGTAGCAGCACTCTTTGCATGTTCTACACATTTGTCAGTCAATATAAGGGGTATGTATAAAAGGCATATTACATTTTAAGTGAATTAAAATTTTATTTTGTATTTTGCAGACTAAAAGCAAATTTTAAAAGCAAAAATTGATTAAACTTTTGAGAACAAAAAAATTGTCTATAATAAAAATTAATATACAGGTAGAATTCCCATTAAAACTACACAAATTTTTAAAATGGAGTACACCTGTAACAGGTCAACTATTTGAACTTTTTTTTGTGATTTAAAAAATTTATTATAGGGTTTTTCTTCCCTGGAAGTCGTTATCCTTGTTTTGCCATATTTAGTGATAATTAGCAGTGAATTTTCTGATTTTTTCAAAGATGCCCCTTAAAAATTTTAAGGAGCATAATTTTATTTATATGGATGAAAAATTACTGAAAGTTCAAAATTGTTTTCTTATTATATCAGAAATCAGTGTAGTATTATATTTAAGGAGGCTTGCTAATTAAGTCCAACAAAAATATAAAACTATAAAATATAAAAGCCACAACTGAGGATTGAGGATTCGATTGAAACAAAACACATGACAGTAAATGTAGATTGTAAAATACAAAAAATATTTGTTACACTTACATCAGGTTAAATATGAAATTTATTAAAATAATAAAAATTATTTGAACTTTTTTATTAAAACTTATTTTTATATGTATTGTTTTTTTTTTCAATCACAACTTACAAGCAGATATTCTTTGTTTAGCATCCCTAAAATAATAGGTGGCGTTCTGAATCTATAACGGCAAATTATTATCTTCCGGAACACTGTATGATTGATAATTTAGTTTTGTGCTTTTGAAAATAATTTAAGTTTTATCAAATGGCTACTAAAATCAAAATAAAAATGAAAGTGATGTTCGACCTACAAAAAAGAAAAAGCATTACCTACGTCAGTATGTTACACATTTGCATTATGAATTTGTGCTATATATCATTAATTAATCAAGGCCGTTTTTTCTTGTGCGTAATTTCGTGTTGTCAAATGAGGTTTGAAACCTTCAAGATTGAAAGAATACTTGCTAAAAAAACACCCACATTAGGTCAACTGGATATTTGTTGCATTCTAGAAAATGAATGACAGTTTTAAAAAGCATATGACTGCCAATTCTTCTCAAAAAGCAAACAATGTTTTTGAAATGGTCTCATTGTATCTTACAATGTTTCTAAGTTAATAGCAAAATATAGTGAGGCACATAGAATTGGTGAGCAGTTGATTTTACCTGCATAGTCTAAAATAATGTCAACTGTATTACAAATGGATACTACTAACTTAAAATCAATTTCTCTTAGCAATAACACTGTGTCTCATTGCATTACGACTACAGTTCTAGTTTGGTTATATGTATGGTAAACAAGTTAAAAGCTTGTGCACTGAATACAAGGCTGTTCAGACAGTTATAATATGAAAAGGATAAACATTTTGAAAGGTTGCTTTTGCATACATAGGTTTGCTGTCTAAGCAAGGAGCAATAACACTAGCTGTCTAAAGCAATAGCACTACGCTTTGGTGACAGTGAATTACAAATTAATTGCACAAATTTAGACACACTCAAGAAAGACTTTGAATGCAGATTTGAAGATTTAGTAGAGTTGGTAACTCCAGAATTGGGTTCAATCTTCATTTCTTTGTTCAGCAGAAGAGCAAGAGTTAAAGTCGCAAGAAGATTTAATTGAAATACAGAATAATTAAGAATTTAAAATGATTTTCTAGAAGATGAAGTTAAGTAGTTTTTAGATTGAGGTTGCTAAAAAATACCTGAAAAATTGTTAAAAAATTGGCCGAAGATGGTAAAATAAGAATCATAAATTTAGAGGTTGATAAAACTGCAACACCTCCTACATCTGTAAGTTTTTTTTTATTAAAAGGAAATAAAGAAAAGTTTATAAACTGCTGAATTGTAATTTATTTTAGCTTTTTAACTAGGTTTTACTCTATTGTGCACATAATATTACAGAAGAATCTAAAGAGTTTATTGATGCTTCCGAAACATTATTACCCAGTTTTAGACATAAGTAAAGCCCTTCATTTTAGCTTTTCCATCATCTTATCTTGTTGGTTTAGTGCAGTGAGTCATATTTTGACAAAACAAAGAAACAAACTTGATATTGTTCAAAGAGAAGACCTAAGGCTTTATCTAATTTTGAAGCTGACATTATGAAATTAGCTAAAAATCACCAGCCACTTCTCATTAATAAAACACTTTGAAAATGAAACACTGACAGCATATGTAGGTCTTAAAAAAATTATGGTCTGAAACTTTATAGAGGAAAAATAGGCTCATCCTGCTACTCTAGAGGGTGCTACTATAAAGGCAAAACAAACAAAAAAAAACATCCCTTAGCTAGAAAACTTTAAGACTTTAAAATTTTATTTTAACAATTAAAAGTCTTTTTTGCTATATTTATTTAATTTTTCTATAAATATATAGAGCCATTGAAAAAATGTAAGATGTATTGTGTTAAGGGGCAAATTTAAACCCTCTTAAAATAACACAGATGACAGCGCATTAAACCACTGAGCTGTTGAAGTTATGCACATAAGATTAAAACAAACTATTTTATAAATCTCTTACAAGCTCTGCGTATATGGAAAAGGTGTGTATGATAATTTTTTGTTTGTTCTTAAAGCAGTTTTTTAAATTATTTTTCTACCATTGACTAAAAAAAAAAAGGTAAATAAGGAATAAATATAGAAATGATCGCTGCAGAATAAATAAATATAGAAATGGTCATTTTGGTGAAGACCCATATTTTATTGTGACGGACAGCTAGGATATATGTGTGTGTGTATATATATATATATATATATATATATATATATATATATATATATATATATATATATATATATATATATATATATATACACAGGCCTTGTTTTAAAGCGTTACGCCTAGAGCGATTTACGTACGCCTTCAGCAATTTTTACGTACGCGTAGAGCTGTTTTAGTTAAGCTACTTTTTATCATTTTTTAACTTTTAAATTAGCGGTAACATAAAAGAAGTAATTAATTTAAAAAAAACCCACAAACTTTTGAATAATGATATATAAAAATATTTGTTACAAAAGTTTGAAAGAAGTTATATTTGTTATTAATATTTATATTGTTAGAAATAATTGTTTTAAAAATAATTTTTTCAAAAATAATTGTTGTAACTTTTTATCGCGATGATAATTCTTATCTTTTTATTACGTTTATATTCAACGTAATTTTACGCTAACCTTTTTATCTAAATATTTAACAAAATGAAAAATTTAAAAGAAAAATTGAAAAGTTCGCCATTCCTTAACTAAAACTTTTTTCTAGATGATTTTAATAAAAAATACAGTACAAAATTCTATATAAATCTATGTTACAAAAATTATTATATTTTGTAATCTCTGACAACAAAAATATGAAGACATTTTTTGAAGATTTTAAAAAAATGTGTTAGTATATGAATAACTTATTTTTAATTTACATAAAATTAATTCTTCATTAATTATTACTCTTTGCTTTTTTTAGTTAAAAGTATACCTTAAACTTTAAGATATATAGGGGGAGGGGGCTGGTACATAAGAAAAAAAAGTTACCTATTACTCAAAATTTTTGAAATAAGACAATTTGTTTTTTTTTTCATGAATCAAGTTATATTATAAAATTAAAGACATCACATCACATCCGCTGATGACACAAATATTAAGTTAAATATATTTATACAACGGATGTTTCATTATGGATGCGCACGTTGCCGACTCCCTTAATTTAAAACTAAGGCATGTGTTAGTTTAATGACAGTTTTTATTTTATTTCTATTCTCTCCAAATTGTTTGAAGTTCAATAATGGATTGCATTTTGAAGAGCAAAAAAATTACTTTGAAAACTTTTAAGTCTTGGGATTTTGCCGATGTTTTTCAAATTGAAACTCTCACAGAAAAAGAGAAGATTTATGTTATTAAAATCATATGTACTTTGTGTAAGCTTCATTAAAATAAAATCTTATCCAAAACCAATGGTGCCGTGAGGGCAGCTTCTCTACGGTTTATAATGGTACTAATTATGTTAAAAAAGATAGTATTTGTAGACATTTGTCATGAGCGACTCAATTAGAATTCAATTAGAAAATGAAGGCTTCGAAAAAAATGATGGACTAGCCAACAGTGTAAGGGTTTATAAATTAGTTTAATTTTTTTGTTTCATTGTCAATCGATCCCATTTCAATTAAAAGCAAAAAAAAAATTATGTTTTCGGTTTATTAAATTAAATATTTATCTAAGTAAAGCTGTTAGACTTGGAATAATTTTTAACTCTTGTAAACTGCGACGTTAGAATATTAGGGTTCTATTTCACTTTTGTAATGTTGACAGAATTTAAAAAAATTGTTTAAAAATTAAAAAATTGTTTTTAAAATGTGTTTGTTTATTGCAATGACTTTATTTTTTCTTAAATTTTTCTTAAATTCCTTCTTAAATTTTTTAAATCAGAAGTAAAAGTTTGTTAAATTTGTTAAATTAAATAATCAAAACTTGTTTAATTGATTGCTTAAAACACACATTTTTTATTACTTATTGAGTAATATAAATTGGTTTAAGACAAAATATCAGTAGATTAGAATATCAGTAGATGAGAACTATATGGTTCTATCTCCCAATGTTCATAGTGAAAAGTTTAATTTTTTGTATTTATTTATAATAGTTTAGCGTTTAAAATTATATAATTTTACTATATTAATCTTATTGTTATTTATATAATATTTAAACTGTATGTTTTTCCTTTTTCATTGTTAGTTTCAACCTTGTTTAATAAAGTTGTAACTATAAACTAATTTGTAAACAAGCAAGTTTAAAAATAATAAAATTAATAATATAAAATTAATTATAAAACATAAATACAATTAAAAAATATATATATTTGATCAATATAAACAACGAATAATTAAATAACTAAATATTGAAAGTTAAATTCTCTCAAGGGATCATCCATAAATTACGCAACGCTAAAGTTATTTGAAAAACAGTTATAGGAGTTCTTAAGTTCTTTTACTCTGCGATTTTTACTAAACTTAATAGGCTATTTTCATTTTTTTTTTTTTAATTTACGCTCTGCGAGTCAAAACTTTTGATTATTTTGTCTTGTTTATTACTGAAATTTAGCGTTGCGTAATTTATGGGGTACTAGATAAAATGCGAACTGAAAACTGCGAACTGGTAAAATGCGAACTTTTTTGCGAACCATTGTCCTACTGGTTGTTAATGATGTAATGTTTTATTTCTGATAAATTGTTCATTTAGCAGTATATTTTAAGGAAAATATTAATTAAAAAGAATTAAAAAGAAATTAAGTGAAACTAGACAATAGAATATAAATTTTTTATTTTTATTATTTGATAGACTGTCTTTCCGAACTAAACCCTCAGTCGATTTAGCAGCACTCCGTTGCAAGTCAGGCTATTAGATAGTCTATGTAGCAGCACTCCGTTGCGAGTCAGGCTATAAGATAGTTGATGTAGCAACACTCCACGCATGTTTTACAGTTAAAAAGTTTTTTTTTTTTTTAAATAAAGCTTTAAAATAGATATTTAAGAATGGGAGATTTTATTATTATTTTTTTTATCATAACAATAATGGTTTTTAAAAGGTAATGTTTTGGTTTGCAAAAAATATTGCATTTTTACCTGTTTGCGGTTCGCAGATCGCATTTTACCGACAACCAATTTATGGTCGATTCCCAACGTCAAGAAATGGAGATAGAGCTTTATTATTCTAAAGTCACGAAATGTAAAATGTAATAACGTTTTATAATTGACTAAAGTCACATAATATGATGATCACTTCAACGCAGTAATGCATGCTCTGGATAATTATGCAGTAATGCATGCTCTGGATGCAATAATTTTCGAAATCAATAAATAACTTACTTTATAGTATACTTTTAAAATAACAATTTTTTAAAAAACTAAAAATAATTCAATAATATTATCTTATCTTCTCATCTCATAGGTTCGATTACTTTAAAAAAATTTTTTCTTATTAAAAAAAATTGTTTTTACAAAACTATTTATTACATGTTATAATGGATGACAGGAATAATGTCACAAATTTGATTGTCGAAAATGTGAAAAAGGAATAGTGTCGCAAATTGTTACATTGAATAACAGAATAAGGAATAATTTCGCAAATGAATTTAATGAATAGTGTCAAAAATATAAGTATAGTTTTCGTCGCCTTTACAAGCAGGAAAAAAAAAAAAATGCTACTATTTATTTACGTTGTTTTCAAAAATTTGTCAACAAGCTCATGTTTAAACCCTTCTGCCTTGAAAGAAATACACATGTAAAATTCTTATCGTAACCTTTTCAAAATTGCCTATGAAATGGCGTGCCACCCAACAAAGCCTCATGCACATTTTTCTGTTTTGGTAAGTGCTAAATTAGTTGCTATTTGCATTGAAATACTTTGTTTTAAGTTTTCTTTGTTTTATGTTGTTACTTGTACTTTATTACTGAATGATTTTTTATTTATTTATAAGTTGTTCCCTCAATGGTACCGTTTTTTTAACATCCCCTTAAAGTCGCGGTAGTCTGATTGGTTGATTTAAAATATAATATAAAATTTATATAAAATAATAATTTATTTGACAACAAAATTTTAAAAAATTAAAGATACGATACAATTGCCCGATCAACAGTCTTTTTATATATCGGAATGTATTTGACTTTGGTATTTGACTATTTTAGGTGAGGTGCGCCAAAATTACTGGCGCAAGCCTTATTAAATGCAACGAGAATGGGCGCACATGCAGAGAAATGATTAAATGTTGCGCTGACTCTGTGCGGAAAAAATGCTTTAAAAACCTCCAATGGTGCAATTTTTTTTCCATTCTTAGTGATGGAAGTCAAACAAGAAAAACTGGAAAAGAAAAGGAACTAGTTTTAGTTTGAACTGATAACAATGGCGTACCGATTTACATGGTAACAGAGTTGTTGGATGTGTCACTTTTTGGTGGTAGCAACTCTAACTCTGTGACCATTGGGATAAACAGTATTTTTAAATCGGATAGATCATTATTTAAATTAAGTACCGAAGATTATACCAACAAAGTTATATGTGCAACAGTAGATGGGGCAAGTGTTAACTTCGGTATACATAAAGGTGTGCTTTCCCAGTTGCAGCAAAACCACCCATGGTTGATTAAAATTCATTGCATTAATCATAGAATTGAATTGGCTGTAAAAGATGCGTTTAAAGAAATTCCTGATTTTATAAAGATTGATGATTTTTATATTGCTAATTACTATCTATTAAGAAATTCAGGTAAGTTAAAAGCAGAAGTTGAAGCAGCTTCAAAATGCCTCGGTTTAATGCATTACAACTTACCAAAAATTACTGGAACAAGGTTTGTTGGTCACAAGAGGAGAGGAGTTTTGAATTTGTTAGAAACATGGCCAGCTTTTATTATGGCTTATCAAAATTATGTAAGCGAACAGACCAATTCTAAAACTGTAGCGAAAGTGAAAGGCTTATTGAAATCATTTAAGTGTCATTCTTTCCTCTACAAAGTTGGTTTGTATCTAGACAGCTTGGAAGTAGTTATTCCTGCATCTAAAATATTCGAAACCAATGAGTTATTGGCTCATGAAATTCCTACTACTTGAACCCTATTGGAGATAGAAGATAAAATTAAATGTATTGGGCAAGATGACGAATTTATTGACAGCTTCATAAATCAGAAGAAGTTCTCTCGCCAAGTACACGCAAAAACGCCGAAAATGGTCGCTGATATTGCCGAATAAGAAGTAGTTCAAAAAGACTTGGCAGATTTCGATCAACTAATCGAAACAAGTGATACGGAGGACATTGATAGTGGCGATGATCTTTTAACAGATAGTCTTCGTGAACTAATTATCTAATAAATAAAAATTATGTATTCAAGTTTATACAGATAAATGAATTTATTAATTTTGAATTTGACTTATTTAACAGTATATTTTATTTAAGTATACAAATAAAAATAAATAATGTTCAATAAATAAATTAAATGTTTCTTAACAAAGATTACCTCATATTTATTCTCCTTCTTTTTATTTTGTTACCCTAAATTAAATTGCTTGCAAACGGAAAAAAAAAAAGAGTTTTGTAATAAAATTAAAATACTTTAGAGTTTGTTTATAAGTTAAAGAAACTTAATTTTTTATGAACAATTTTTAACAAATGTTTATTATAAACAGATATGATACGATTTATTAAATATACTTTTGTTTTATTTGAGTACTTTTTTAAGTTTGCACGATTGCGTAGAAGTATTTAAAAAGTTTTTCGTTTTGAGAATTATTAACAAAAGAGTATGAATAATTAGACTTTTTTATGTAATTTAATTTTTTTTTGTTTATTAAAATTCAAAAAAAAAAAAAAAATTTAGTTGTTAAAAAAATTATTCTCTATAGCTCTGTGGTTTTTTGTGATTTGTTTAAATGTAAAACATTCATTCATTAAATTCCTGGCGAACGCGTTCTATTTTAGTGCAAAAATATGCTCAAAACATGCATTAAACTTTTTTTATATTTTTATACAACGCAAGTGAAAACGCTGAGCGACATAAATATACGTAATATATTTAAAAACCTAGTCAAAACAAAATTGCTGTTCAAGTAATAAGTAAGGGTTTTCGTTTATCAATATGTTAATACTTTTTGTTTACTCCCGAAGTTTTTTAATTAAATAACGCAACTACAATTTTTTGAAATAACAAATTCAAAACACAACAAATTTTTTATAATATATTTACATTTACAACATTTATACATTGTTTTAATTGAGTTAATTGTTAAATTGAACTATTTTTTCGGTTATTTATTTATTGTGGTAATTAAAACACTTAGCATCTATTAAAAAAATAAAGATAACCTTATGACATCAAATATCGCGTTAAGCTAATGCGTTAAGCACTTTTTTATTTAAAACAAGGCCTGATATATATATATATATATATATATATATATATATATATATATATATATATATATATATATATATATGTATATATATATATATATATATGTATATATATATATATATATATATATATATATATATATATATATATATATATATATATATATATATATATATATATATATATATATATATATATATATATATATATATATATATATATATATAAATAAAAGGAAAAAGTATAGAAAAGGAATAGTACTACGTAGACCCATAATTTTACCTGTTCGTCAGTAATTAATAAAAGTCATGCTATATTTAAAATGAATCAGGTTAAACCATTAAGCACTAATTACAGTGAAAAATAAACTATTATAAGTATAGAGATCAATAAACTCAATTTCCAAGAGTCCAGCTAATTCAGTGAAAAGTAGAGTTTTTTAAGTTAATATTTTATTGTAGGTTGTCATTGTATTTTCAATACCTGAACAAATATAACTTATAAAAAATAACATATTAAGAATATGACAGATCCTTTTTGGAAAATAAAGTGCATTAAGTGTACCCTAAAAAATAACCGTAAATAAAAACTAATTATCAATAGTTTTTTTATTTCAATGTATATAGAGAAAAGAGTTGAAATTTTTATCTTAGATCTTTAGTTTTGGTTTTTCTGACTTTTTATTACTTGTATTATTGATAAAATATATAATTAAGTATTGCAGTTTGTAGAAATATTGTTTCAAAATGTAGTTAGAAATTACGTTATTTTTATATTTAATTTTTAAGGTATCTCAGTTAAGAAGCTAGCAGAGATTATGTGTATACCACACCATATGACTCGCTCTATCATACGTTATTTTGATTCAAATAAAGTTGGGCGTATGATAAATGAAGAAGTAAAAAAAATGAAAGTTCAAAGGTTAACATATAGTTATAAAGTCAATTACTTTTTAATTATACCTGATTCTTTTAACATTTTTTTTTTTTTTTTGTAGGATTGTGGACATTAGATATCTACACATGAGTGAAACAGTGCAGAAATTAAAAAGTAACATAACTATGTTTGACCAACATATGTCCCAAGATTCTAACAACAAATCATTGGTTGATGATCAAAACTTAACACCTTTTTCAGTGAAGCAACATAATTTAGAGTTAGCAGATAACATAAATCTTGTAAGGGTCTCTGAAAGAAGTAAAGTATCTCTTAGACATCTATCTAGACAAAATTTTATTTTGGAAGCATTGAAGAAAAAGCCTGTAATAGTATCATTCACTGATTTATATAGGGTAAGTTAATAACCATATAGGGTAAGTTAATGACCATATAAGTTAAGATAATGACCATAATGACTATACAGGTTAAGATTAATGTTAACAAATATTTTTTATAAGTAAATGTATTTACATGAAGTTTATTATCAGGGTCTGCTTGAAATTGAAAATAATGAACAAGGTTTGTGTTGTCGAAAGACATTGCGAAAAATTGTTAAAAAATTGGCAGAAGATGGTAAAATAAGAATCATAAATTTAGAAGTTGATAAAACTGCAACACCTCCTACATCTGTAAGTTTTTTTTTTATTAAAAGGAAATAAAGAAAAGTTTATAAACTGCTGAATTGTAATTTATTTTAAATTTTTAACTAGGTTTTACTCTATTGTGCACATAATATTACAGAAGAATCTAAAGAGTTTATTGATGCTTCCGAAACATTATATAAAAGAGTAGAAGACCGAGCTAAGCGAATGAAAACCAAAGAAAAGTAATTTTTTTAAATTCAAAACTACTATCCAACTAATTGTTTTAGTAATGAACTAACAAGAACTTATAATATCTAAAATCTTAGTTTTCTCATTTATTTTAACTTTTTTTATTCACTTTTAATTCTAAATAAATTATTTTTTTATTCTAATTTTTATCCTAAATTACTTAGCAATTTTCTAAATTACTTTCAATTTTCAATAATATATACAGGAGTAATTAATTTTTGTACCTTTTGCCAATTGATAATAATAGGATCATATTTTTAACTTTTTGATGGTCTTCTAACTTGTTGAGTCAAAGTAACGTCAAAGTAAAAAATTACTCTGATATGTGGGTAACATCGACATGTGTTAGGTTAAATGTTTTTACTCATCTCTCTTTTACTATTGTTTAAATTATTTTAAAAGATGCTGCAGCAGAATGTTGAATGAAAAACTATAAATATTTTTATCTCTTTTATTTCTTGTTTTTTTGTTGCTAAAAAATGAAAAAAAAAAACTAGTTAAAATTGGTTAATTAAAATGGGAATCGAATAAGGGTTTCATTTTAAAAAATGTACCTCAAATAATAATAACCTTAATAAATAACCTTAAAAAATGTACATCAAATTTCAAAGAAAGATCTAAAACTAAAAGTTCTAAATCAAACATCTAAAATTCATCAAAATTCATCAAAGATCTAAAAACTAACATTCACAGAAAGTTAAAATCCACACCTAATTATGTTGCGCAATACTGGTAAGAACAAAACATCAGAACCTAAAATCTTGTTGTTTCAGAAATTTGAACCACTCACCAAAAAGTCGGTCTTAGAGAAATCTTTCTAAAAATGACAATGCTGCAAGATTTTGTCAGAATCAGATATTGAGTCATTTATGTGTTGTTGAGCTGAGTAGATTAAGAACTCTCTGACATTGTTAGGTAAAAAAGTTTTTAATTGTAGATTAACATACTTTTTTATATTCATGTAAACACTATTAGACATTGATTGCTTAACCAATTAAATTTTTTAATCAATTATATCATAACAAAATGATTAGTAAATATGTAAAAATATGGTATACCACTTCAAGTTTCTCAAGATTTAAAGTATTGATATTGTCAGTGTATAAGCAATATTGCTTTTAAACTTAAGAAGCTTTTTCTGTTTCTTTTTAAAAAGGTTTGTTTGATTAGCAAACCAAAGATAAAGTAACCAACTGTTTACATTGTGAATTTCAATACAGTGAAAGTTAACTTCCAGATCATATATATATATAAATATATATATATATATATATATATATATATATATATATATATATATATATATATATATATATATATATATATATAAACAAAAGTTATTTTAAACTATTACCATTAGCTAGTAATTTGAATGGTAATAAAAAATTATTGTTTTAAAAGGAATTTAATATGAATTTGTTAAATTTCAAGCATTAAGTTATATTTGCTAATATAAAGTTCATTCACGAAGAACTGTTACTATGATAAAAATTTAAAGAAAGAAAAAATAAAAATTTTGACCATCAAAAAAATAAACAATTGGCAGTCAATTTCATGTCTATATGTTTCTATATATATTCATATATCTGTTTGCATATGTATTTGTATACAATATATATATATATATATATATATATATATATATATATATATATATATATATATATATATATATATATATATATGCATATGTATTTATATAAAATTTGTATAATATATGTATGCATAGAATAATAATATAATTAGTATCATTAGTATATAGTTTTTATTTGTAAACGGTGTATTTCATAGGAAATCTCCTGAGCATGATGAAACTGACATAATGACTGACACTGATGATGAATGTAATGGCTTAAAAGACACTAAGGTAGGTCTCAGTTTTAACTTTATGTTGTATAGTTTTTTTCTCATTATACTTTTAACTTTATGTTATACATTTTTGATATTTTTTATTTTTTCATTGTTATACATTATTTTGGTATTAATAGAAAGTTGTTTTAATTGCACTGCTATTACAGCTGAATCGTATTTTTTGTTTGCTTAAAGTACATTTTTAAAATGTTTGCTTAAAGCATAACATACATGTTATGCTTGTGTGAACATATGAATTATATATTAATATTATTAGTTACAAAAATTTAAAAAAAAAAAAATTAAAACAATTCTTTAATTAGTTGCAAAAATTTGCCTTTCACATTTTTTATTGGTTGATAAAAGGAGCTTATACATTTTTAAGAAGTTTATTTTGTAAGCGATTTTATTTTAAGGTCTGTTGCTTGTCTATGGTTCTAATTTTTAATAGGTCTGGAGTTTGATCTAACCCCTTTAAGTAAAGCCCAATCCAAGACCTCTCTAAGCCTCTGTCGTCTCATTATTATTAGCAAAAAATTTTTTATAGTTAATCTTGAATAAACAAACTTCTATCATCGTGTCACAGTGTCAATTGTTAGCCTAACAATTTACACTGCAGAAATTAATGAGATTTAAAATTTAGTAAAATCATTTTTTTAAATTCAATGGGTGAATATTTATTTCAGTGGGTGATTTTTAACATAACTTATCAGTAATTATATATAAATATATGAACTTTTTAAATTCAACTATTTATTTGTTTTTAATTGAGTAATAAGAGGTGTCTATATAGTGTGGTCAATATTTTTTTTCCATTTTGTTGAAATTTCTGTAAAATCAAGTAATAATTTGTTTAGACTAATATATTTAGACTTTTATATGTTTAGGTATGTTTAGAATATGTTTAGAATTTGTTTAGACTAATTTGTTTAGACTAATAGACAAAATATTTGTTGTTGTTGTCTTGTGTAACTAAAAATTGCAATCTGGAAAGCAAATTCATTGAATTAAGCAATAATGAAATTGCATTGCTTTTATATAATAGCTGAAATTTTGATAAATGTAAATAATTCTGAATAATTGATATATTTAGGTTTGTTAATGCAAATATATTAAAGTTTCAAATTACCAATTATAGTTGGTTTTTAGTATATGATGTTATATATATGTTGCCTGTTTACCCATGACCACAAGTTAGGTTATTTTTTTTTAGTTACTACGTTCAAGTTGTTATGGCCGTTTCAGGAAGCTCCAAGTTATTCACTATTATTTGTGGAAGACAGTTTATGGAGTAGAAGAAGATCCAGGTTTTAAATTGATAAAATTTTTTGATAACTGTAACTTAGTTAATAAAAATTAAATGTTTGAATATGCATGAATATGAGTTTTATAAGCTTTTAATAGTGGTAATGTTTATTTATGATCATGGTATGAAAGTTAACTGTGGCAATGTATTCTAAAATAACTTGTGTTACAGTATTTATATTATTAATAAAATGCATATATTATAATTACAATTACTTATATATAAATATTAAAAAATAAATATTTAAAATAGTTGACATTTTAGACCATCACCACTCTATCAGCAATGAAGATACTGATTTAATACAATGTCGGTATGCTTGGTTCAAAGAAGTTGGGCAATTATCCAAAAATCCTCAGGGAGATGGTTGGTTTAATATTGGGGAGGTTATTTCAAAATTGCCTCTGCACCACATGGTGAATGTTATTGGAATTAGATACAAGGTAAACAAGAAATTTTGAATAAAATAATTATAAATTCAAATTATCATTTTATAATATATATTAACAATTTTATTATTTTATAATATATTTTAATATATATGCGGTAGTGGTGTAGTGGTAAAACACTCGCTTTATAAGCGAGAGGTTCCGATTTCGATCCCCACCATGTCCTTGGTAGTACCGCGCTCAACTTGTTTCTCCGCGCAGCGGCCTTGTTCGTCAAGGTTCGTATTTCGGAGTTATAGAGTTGAGAGAGGGTTATAACCACTATTAAGTAGCCTCCTCGTCTGTAGCGGCTTTCTTGGCCTTGAGGAGGGGAATAACAAAAAAAAAAAAAAAAAAAAATGCAAAGCTTTATGCAGAAAGCTTTAACTCTTGTTTGCACCCACACTCCACTTAACTGGTTTAACCAGTTATTTTTGGCTTGTGCAAAAGTAATAAGTTAAGAAATTTTCTTGATACATAAAATTCATTATAATTAGTTCTTTTAAGCTTCAAGTTATAAACTTTAGAAGGCATAAAATATATTTTTATATTTGATATAAAATAATTACAAAAAAAAAAATTTATATGTGTGTACATTAGAGTGACACAAAATTAAAAAAAAACAAACAAACTAAAAAACTGCAGCCATTACTGGTAGAACCGCAAACATTATGCGGTTCTACCAAACTTTGGGAATCTACAAAAAAAATTTTAGATCCCTAAGTGATCAGGTAGAGCTACATGTAAATTTGAAAATTTTACGTTCCAAACCTTTTTTTTTTCTTCGCATTATTTTATTATCTTCACATTATTCAGCAAATTTTCAAAACATGTGTCAAAAACTCAAGTTGTTTTTAAAACATTTGTGGTCATTCACAATTATTTTAAAAAATTTTTAATTGCAGCTTAAACTTAGTGGTTTGTGTTTAATCACTTGGTAACTTTTGATTTATTAATTATCTTACTTTAAACTTTTTTTTTTTACTAATTACATATCCGTACAAAATGTTGAAAATCAATGAGAGGAAAACAAAAAAAATTGGCTATAATGCTCGTAGGTCTGTTTACCTGCTTAACTCGCCTTTATACTATCTACTTACAAACCAACTTCCATCAAATAGAAGTGTTCCTCGATATTACTTGTTTCTAACTTCAGCTAGAGATAAATGATTCAAACCTATTAAAACAAACTTTTCATGTTCTCAAGCACGAGAGGATGCAGGAGAAAAAGACGAGTTTTGTAATTCAAATACCGATAAATTATGTTTACTCCGATAAATTGTAAATATTTGGAAGTCTGCTGGTTTCAGTAATTACTTAATTTCTGAGAGAAGTATAGTGGAAAAGTTTAAATCTCTATACAGCAAATACAAAACTTTGTGCAACAGTAAAACCTTTTAAATCAAGAAGCAAATTTCCGAACGCCACAAAAATGATTTTTACAATATGGTAGAGCAATTGTTTGACATCAGTGCGAAGGACTTTGAGATGAAGTTGAGACGCGATGAATCAATGCCTCGTGATACTTCTACTTTACAAGATGATTTGGTCCTCTTAGATGATCAAAGGTATTTTTTGCTCAAATTTTTTTTGTAAAGATTTAACCTATTTTTCAATTATAATATCTACTAATTTGTCCCTAATATAAAAAATCATTTTTTTAAGAAATTTTGTTTTTTTATTCAAAAAGAATTATCTTATGCTAAGTGTTTCAACAACTTTTTGCAATGAACTAACAGAAATATGATCATATCTTCTAAAATTGACACAGAGCTTGAAGCAAGGTTTCAGAGAAAGATTGATAGATGCAAGAGGAAAGAAGAATATAAAGATCGAGTACAGAAGAGCAACGATTCCATAATTCGTGACAACGAAGAGGAAATTGGTGAAAAAAGGCAATGGAATCACAACTTTTTTCCTAACAATGATATAAATTTCAATTTGGCAAGTGAGGAACCTACAGACAAAAGTGAGAACCTACAGAACCTAAAAAAACAAGACCTGAATCACAATTAGGTAATTTTAAAGTAAAATTTGTTTAACACATAAAAATATTTGTTTCAACTTATGATTAAATAAAAAGAGAGATTGTAAACAATTTTTTCTAATAATGCACAGACATTTTAAGCAAAATTAGTAATTTTTTGAAGTAAATGTATAACTGAGCTAAAAATCTTTATATTAATTTAGATGCTGGAAGTATAATTGCCGAGTGGGAAATTTTTGTCCCAAATAAAAATGTTAACTTTCACGAAGCAAGCTCAAAAAGTAGGCATCAGTTTAGACTAGCATATTTCAGAGTAGAAAAAGAGATAACAAGTGAAAGTCTCATTGCAGCAACAACTTCCACCAGTATAAGGGCCGGTCTTAGCATTCGAGATCAAACCCTTCTTATTGCAAGCGTAGTAAACTATTCAGGAGGAGATGTTAAACAGCTAAAGTTAAGCAGAGAATCTGTCAGAAGGTGACATTACAGATTTTTAGAAGAGGAAGGAGGCTAGATACGTAATGAATATATTGATTTAATAACTAACAAGATTTTAGTTTTACATTTTGATGGTAAAATTTTAAAGCATATTGAGACACTAGACAGGCAACTACTGCAACAAGATGTTAGTTTAACTACTGCAACAAGATGTTAGTTTTACTATTTGATGGTAAAATTTTAAAGCATATTGAAGACACTAGACAGGCAACTACTGCAGATAGACTATCAGTATTTGTTACTAGCCCAGAGTTTGAAACCAAAGATGATCTTTTACTTGGTGTTGTGCCAACTGATAGTGGTAAGGGAATCGATATGGCTATAAGTACAGGGATTATCTCCTTCCGGATATTTCCGAAATTCCGGATATTTTTTTTAACTATTAGTTTTTCCGGATATTCAAAACATTTTCAATACATGTAAGTCGAGGTATATATTTTTGTAATATATTTGTTTTTTAAGCTTTTTCACTCATCAATCATAGAAAAATTATGAAAATGTGTCAAAAAAAACTAAACCAATTTAGATAAAAGCGAAATTAAAAAAGAAAATAAGGGAAATCAAATTCTGGATTTTTTCCGGATATTTTATTTAAACAATTTTTCAAATTTTTAAAATATGACTAGGATGATCTATGTAAGTATTATGAATCTCCTAGAATATTTTGAAATTTGTGACTATATTGTAGGATTCTGTTCTGACACCACAGTAAGTAACACTGGATGGAAATCTGGTGCAATAACTATTATGGCAAGATTTCTTGGTAAACCATTTCTTTGGTTATTGTGTAGACACCATATTGCTGAAGTAAATATTACTTGGGCTTTTAAGGCAATTTCAATGGAAATGTCTAAAGCCCCTGCAAATAAGTTACTAAAAGATTTTCAGAAGAAATGGATAACATAATTTTTTCCTAAAGTTTCAGCTAATGGTGCTGTAGGAAAGTTCAAACAATTTCCTGAGCAAGATCTTATTGTTGGCAGTGATCTCTGCAAACTCTATTTGAAGTCTAAAAAGTTTGCATCTTGTTGAATATTTGCCGTATTACATGAATGTTAAGTCTGAGAAATTAAACAATTTTTACATCTATCAGCCTGCCCCCTGTCACAATGCAAGGTTTATGGCCTATGCAATATACTTTCTAATGCTCGATATGACATCCTCAGTCATTGACTATCTGACTCCTGAAAAGAAACATATGGTCTCAAGGGTAGCATTTATTGTTGCTATTTATTATGGACCTACCTTTCTCAAATCAAGCAAAGCAGAGCATGCTGTTCTAAACGATTTTAATGAATTCAAAATTGCTGAAACAATTAAAACAGAATGGGATTTTGAAGTTGGAAACTTTAGGAGACAAATACCATGAGTAACCACACATGGTATTTGTCTCCTAAAGTTGTCGTACTATCGTTAGGTGATCCTCATATGAAAGCAGATGCTATGCATTTAATCATTGAGAAATTTTTTAAATTTCCAATTCCTGGGTTATCAGAGATTTCTGTTACAGCTCTTTCTGCTGTTATTGTTACCAGTGATAGTCGATTAGAGGATTTAATTACGAAGGAGAGTTGGTTTTTTTTTTATACTTACAGGTTGTTTTATACTTTACACCGAATCTGTTTGAGAGTGGCATACTTCAAGTGATTTCTTAGCGCTAGATTCATACATTTTGCTCAGTTGGTTTGCAATCTTAGTGTGACAACGACTGCGCAGAAAGAAATATTAGTTTAATTGAAAACTTTGTTCACACAATGAGGATCAGAGACAGAACATTCTTTTGGTAGTCAGGGAGCACAGAAAGCCTATAACAAAAGATATGTTGCTTAAGGAACTGGTAAAGCTAAAACCTAGAATTGAAAAATTATTGTAAAATAATAACTAACTGTATGAAACTATAAAAAGCGTTTTTTTTCTTGTAAGATCAAACAAAAGTTTAGTTATAAACATATTTTAACCCGTAAAAAATGACATAAAGTTCAGCCAATCCTTAATATTTGAAAAATTGCATGTAGGATTTCCAATGAATAAAAATAAGTGATATTTTGTATTTAAACTAACTAAATGTTGTAGAACAGGATAAGCAACTTCGGTTATTGATTTTCGACAAATTTTATTTTTCAACCCTACTTTGTGTCACCCTAGTGTACATATATATATATATATATATATATATATATATATATATATATATATATATATATATATATATATATATATATATATATATATATATATATATATATATATATATATATATATATATATAAATATATCTGGACAAGTTTTGCGACATCGTTTAGGAAGGAGGCATGAACTTCCAGTTTAATGCTCATCCGCAGTGCTCTGTGATAAGATCGTAAGGACTTCTTGAGGCTCCTAAATAAAAATTTGAATATATATATATATATATATATATATATATACACTAAAAATAGTTTTTTTTTCTTATATATAAACATTGTTGTTTTTTCTTATATATAAACATCTTTCCTAATACACTTTCTGATCTTAAATAATATTAAATAGGGAAAATCAATCCTGCTTAGGTCCAATCTGTTAGCTCACACTATCAATGCTTGATTTTATTTCTTGAAAAAAGATATTACTTATGTAAAATTGTTGTTTTTTCCTCAGTCTTTTATTTTTTTTTATCATCGACTATTGATTTATCATCTAAATAAAAGGTATTTAAGCACATAAAAAAAAATCTGAAAATCTGAAACACATAAAATAATAATAACACATAAAGTGATAATATTATTAATGTTATATAAGCAAAATATAATTATAATAGTTTTAATAAAGCAAAATATAAACAATAATAATTTTAAGTTTATTTTAATTTTATAAAGTAAAAGTTTTTATATTTAGTTTAGAGTTGTTGTTATGGTTATTTGGTCACTGCAAAACAAAATGTTTTGTGGGTAAATTAAATAAGTTTTTCAGGAGTAGACAGGCATTAGTTTGTATTTAGAAATATTTTGACAGTTTAATGATCATCAATATATTTTGGAAAAAGTTTTTGCATAAATATCATTTACTTAAATTTTTGTTTTTTATTTTTTAATTTTAAAATTATTTTTGCCTAGAGTGAAACTTTAGACAAATTTATGAAAGATCCTAAACGCCGATTTATGCCTGTCAGTAAATTGCCACCACGCCTCAAACACAAATTAGTTGATCAAAGGTTTGTTTCTTTATTATACTTTAGATTATCAAACAGGAGGGATAACTAAGATATTTTAAAATGTAAATTAAATGAAAATTTAAATTTAAATGAAAATTGAATAATTAAGATAAGAAATAAAATATGCATTAACATAACATTAATATGCATTAAAGTTTTTAATTTTTCAAACTATAAATATGCGTGTTTAGATAACACCTCTGAAATTACACTGAAATAGTCTGCTGTCAGGGCTTTAGTACATACTTCAACTATCTTATAGCCTGTGCCACTATATCAACTGAGGGTTTGGCATAGGGCAGCAATCTTTTTTTTCAAAAAATCAACCTGACATAATGGAAATCGTATTTTCAACCGAAATTTTAAGGCTACATGTTTTTTGTTTTTTTTTAATAATTTTCTTTTAACTATTCACCTCCCCAAGGCCAAGAAGGCCACTACAGTCAAGGAGACTACTTTAGTGGTTACAACCCTCCCTCAACTCTATAACTTCGAAACATGAACCTTGACGAACAAGGCCACTGTGCAGAGAAATGAGTTGAGTGCGGCACTACCAGGGACGTGGTGGGGATCGAACTTAATAAGTATATATGTAATATGTAATGTAAGACAATGTAATATGTAATGTGAGATATGACAATGTAAGATGTTGTTTCTTGATTTCAGGGGATGTTGGAATTAATTTATAATTTATAATAAAATAAATAGCATGCATAAGAATGTGTATATATATATATATATATATATATATATATATATATATATATATATATATATACATACATACATACATATATATATAGAGATAGATAGCTAATGTCCAGACATGGAACAAACTCCAAACATTAATACGTGTATACTTACGTCGAATAAGGATGCTTTGCAAAAAAAAGTGATGATTGGAGTTCATGAAAAAAAAAGCCCTAAAATATTGGTCGCAACTGCCCCAAATGTGTGAACAACAAACTGATAAAATATTTTTGTACTTTTCTCAACCAGAATTAAATTCATCAATAGATTTAAAATTTTATAGAATAGACTTTCAGTGTTCAAAAATTATGACCATATAAAATTTAAATCCCCCTTAGTTGAGGGGTTACAGGAGTGATACTGTCCATGGAGAGACAACACCTAATGATTTTGGAAGATTTTTCATAACAAAAGTAATAAAAATCTTTTATAAATATCCAAAATTTGATGTTGATAAAACTAGTATTGTGAAATATACTTGTTGAACTTGAAAAATCTGGCACAAAAGAACTTATTCCAACTCTATTTGATACAACCAGAAAAAAGAAAAATTATAAATATTAGAAATGTTAGAAAAGGCAAACGCAGATCAAAGATATCCTCTCTGTAAAAACAGTGATGGAAAAAAAAAATTCTACAGAAAGTGTATAGAAAGATTTAAGAGGTTGCCACAAAAAACATAGAAAAGTAGCAATTGAACAAGGACAAAATTTCATCGATCATGTTCATAAGTTTCAAGTTGTTGAATCCCACTACATGAGATGCACAGGAAAATCACAGTTTCTTCCTCAGGAAATGCATAGACTATAAAGTACTGCAGTAAGAAAAATCTTTTTATTGAGTGATACAAGTTCTATCAGAGAGTTTTTAAACATAGATTTTGTTTGAAATTCCTAAAACTCAAGGAAGATCAGTGTGGAACTTGTAAAAGTTTAACACAATTTACATACCTATGCAATCAGAAACAACAATAGAACAAGCTTTTAAAAAAACACATGCGTATTAACTGTGTTAAATCATGATGATATAATCAACTTTAAGAATAAAAAAGAATTTTCAGCATACTCTGCGATATCAGCAAACAAATTCTTTAAGATATCAAGTTCAACCAAAACAAAAGATGGAAAGAAATCTAAACCAAAAAAAGTACATGGGCCAGTATTGTGCAGCTAAAAGGTTTAAAAGAAAATATTTTTTATTTTAAATACAATTATGACGAAAAATATTTTTTTTATCAAAAATAGTTGGTCACACAAAATCAGAAGCAGGTAAACACTTGTAAAAGCAAAGTTATGTTGCTCCAAGATTATTAAGGTATTCGTGCACTGAAAATATAGGATCTTCTTTCCTTATGCAACAAAGATTATATTCCAAAACAGCATCATCATTTCAACTAAAACCTAAAGGTTTGAGTCAGTTGTATGGATGATGATGATGATGATGATGATGATGATGATGATGATGATGATGATGATGATGATGATGATGATGATGATGATGATGATGATGATGAAATGCTTAAAATAAAACCAAAAAATGACCCAAAAGTCATAACTAAGGCAATCAAACAACCGAAAAAGATTGTTCAGATTTCTACCAATTAGGAAAGTTAATAAAAGTATGCATTTAGCAGCAGCTAGACAAAATGTTTTTCAAAAAAAAAACATAATTTTTTTCAAGTTTGTTACTTGATAATGATTCCATCACTAAATGATTAAAATTACTTTGATAATTAGCAGTAATTAACTAACCTAATAAAATAAGAAAGCAATAGCTGAATAATTTCATAAAATTTATGGACTTGAGATATTTAATTTGCAGAGTTTTCTGTATTTAAGATCCTTTTAAGATCTTAAGTTAACTTACTATAAACTGACTAAAAAATAAAATAGAGATGTCTAAAAGTTAAAGCCACTAATTGCAATATAATAGTTTTTTAAATAACTACAAAAAAAAAAATTTTCTATGCAGAAAGTGTTTGCTTTTATTTTTTTAATGTTTTATACTGTTTTTATATAATCCTTTTAAATAAATTTTATAGTAATTAAATATTCCAAAACAAATTATTTATTGAGATATTAGCAATTAACTTTATAATTTTTAATGGGTTTTTTTTTCCTTAAAAGTTCTGGCACTTTCATATATATTTTTTAAGTACTGGTTTGAATAATGCCTTTTTGTAGTTAATAAATGATGTCAATACAATAAAGTTCTTACAAATAATTTATAATTGAGTTATAAATGTTATATTTTATTCAGGTTTTTGCTTTTGCAATTTTTCATAACTAAATGCATTGTTAACTATGTTTACAATGCGTTTTTGCACCTTGTCTAAAAGAGAAAGAGCATCATTAGAAGATCCGCAACGCAGATATGGCAACAGTAATCCATACAAGGATGGATTTAAGATTTATAAAGAAAGAGAATAGAATCCAGAGTAAGAAAGTATTGAGCTTGATAAAGAGATGCAACCTTAGCAGATGCTAATTTTGCAGACCTTAGCAGATGCTAATTTGCAACCTTAGCAGATGCTAAATTGCAACCTTAGCAGTTGATATAGGGCTTCCAAGAAAGATAAAAGTTAATCCTAGAAGAAGGAAGTTAGATGACTCATTGAGTACATTACCGTTCATAAATATAGGAAGATTTAAATCATTGTGATAACGATTGGCTGAAAAAAATTGAGTTTTATCTGAATTAAAGTTCACTAGCCACCGTGAGCCCCATGTTGTATCAGAAGTGAGATCCTTTTCAAGCTCAAATGCCCTCTCCAAGCAATCAGAGAGTGTTGCCTTATCATCATGACAAGAATAAATGGTAGTGTCATCGTTAATTAAATTAAAAAGTATAGGGCCAAGGATTGAACCTTGAGAAACCCCTGACATTACAGGATATGAATATCTGGTGAAGTTACACTAACAGAAATTCTTTTAACAGTAACTATAATATTTAAATTCTCCTCAATTTCTTTGATCTTTTTGCTGTCAAAGTGCAGGACAAGTTTTTTTCCCTTTAAAGTTTCCATTTTATATCGCCTTATCTGGTCTCCTAAAAATCAAAATAACTTTTAAATAAAGATTTCAATCTTTATTTATCCTAGCTTTTTTTTCTACTAATAATTCTTACCTAGATCTTCAATCTTCTTGAATCTCTTTCGATCAAAAGAGCTTTTGAAAATAGGAATATTTTCAAGATTCTTGCCTGATTTTTTGCATATTGCTGGAATGATTGCGGATAGAGGTCGGAATCTAACCCTATACCAAGCAGATACTACAGAAGTACAATCCACCAGATCCTCAGCACTAATATTTAATATCTAAATAAATAA